CCAATTAAAAAAACTCAAAAATATCATAAAAATTTTTCATGATGTTTTCTACTCCACAATGATTTAAAATTTATATATACACTCTACTATGAGTGGCCTCTCTCTCAATTTTCACTAATAGGAACAATGCTAAATTTTGTAGAAAATGTTTCATTACTTATTTCCTTAGACTAAATTCACAGAAGTGGAATTGCTCGGCTAGATGGTGTACTTAAAAATCTTTTGCTATGTGTATTAGGCCACTTGGGCCACCATAACAAAATATCACAGACTAGGTTGTTTTAACAACAGAAATGTCTTTTCTCACAGTTCTGGAGGCTGGAAAGTCCAAGATCAAGATTCCAGCAGTGTTCAGTTTCTGGTGAGGACTCTTTTCCTGGCTTACAGACTGCCACTGTGCCCTCACAGGCCCTTCCTCTGTGTGCACACGCAGAGTGATCTCTGATGTCTCCTCCTCTTCTTATAATGACACCAGTCCTATTGGATTAGGGCCCCACGCTTATGACCTTATTTAACCTTAATTACCTGCTTAAAGGCCTTATCTTCAAATACAGTTTCATTGGGGGTTAGGCCTTCAACATAAGAATTTGGCAGGGGGGAGCACAATTCAGCCCATAACACTATGTATTCCAAATTGTCCTTTAGAAGGGATGTACAGTTTATGTGCCTACCACTGGTGCATGAAGAGTTTTCCCCTGCACCCTTGCCAACACTGGAATTACCACTTAAAAATATTTGTCAATTCGATGGGCTAAAAATGGTCTTTTGTGGTTCTAATTCTTTTATGGGTTTCCTATTTATTTCATTTGTCCATTTTCTATTTGGTATTCATTGTTCGATACATATTTGGGCATATATACTCTTTGTCATATGTTACAGAACATTTTTGCAGGTCATTGTTTCTTTTTTTTTTTTTTGTCTTTTTTCGTGTCCGGCAACGGATCGCAACCCTCAGTGTCGCGCCCATACCAGACCGGGACCGGCAACGGGATCGCAACCCTTGGTGTCGCGCCCGCACCTTGCTCAGCCAGTGAGTGGGAACTGGTCTGTATGTGGGATCCGAAGTGCGCCACCGGGCCGGCCCCCAGGTCATTGTTACTTTTAAATTTTGTTTACAAGTGTCATCTTTTTAATTTTGTTTTGATTTATTAGGTAATATTTTATTTTAAAATATGATTTTTAATTACCAGCATTTATCTTCTCTTCTTTATTTTATACAATAAATAAAAGTTTATTGTAGCAAACCAAAAAAATACAGGTAAACAAAAAATGAAAAAATCACTTATATGTAATCCCTGTAAACATTTTTAGGTACATCCCTTCAGACTTTCCCATGTGAAAGTTCATGGAAAGATTCATATTATCTTTTAATTCAATTTTCCATGAACTTTTAGAACTATCCTGGTACATGTGAATGTCTATATTATACATAGACTTTTTAAAATTTTGCAAAAATGGCGTCATATGCATACTGAACCCAATTTATGCAATGCCCCAAATCTGTTTAGCCCTGCTTCCCCTTGCTTCTCTAAGGGATCTGCTCTTGCAGTCCCAGCTACCAGCCCTGTCCTTGCCACCAGCACCACTGGCAAGGACAGACACTGTGACTGACCTCAGGCTGGATTGGACCTGCAGCAGCTCCTAGTGCTGCCTGGAGAGGCCAGGCAACACAGTCCAGACGGGGGCCGGGGGGGGAGAGCGCTAATGCCCTAGGGGTGGACTTTGGCAGTGAGAGGCAGAAGATGTGAAGGGACCAGCAGATAAATTGTTCATCCTTCCTCCACCTGATGAATTGCTCTGACAAGCAGTGCTGCACACCACCTCTGTTGAGACGTTTTGTTTGAGCAACCAGCTATATTGCTTAATAATGCACCACAATGTGTTTGCTTTCTCTCCTTCCCTGACTCACTTCCCTGTTTCTTTCACTCGTGCTTCCCTCAGATTTCACCTTCAATAAAGCACTAGCACAAAAGCTTTGCCACACACTTTATATCCTAGAAAATTTTGGCAAAGACAGTATTATGTTTATCCCAGGATGGCAAGTAAGTTTGTTTAATCATGCATGTTGATTCTGATCAATTGCTGTGGCCATCTTGAGTGTTGTGTTGAGAAAGAGTCTCAAGCTCTGTTCTATGCTGGAAAGAGAGTGATGATCGATAAGCAATATCAGTAATGCATGTTTGAAATGGACTTGGCAGAGTGGTAGAATGCATAAGCCAAATTGACCACCTGAAAGGTTATCCAAGTTTATATGGCAGGAGAAGAGTTTTTGCTATGCCCAACATTGAAGTTATCATTCTTTTAAAAAATCTTTATTTGATGGGTAAAAATAAATTGTGTCTTATTTTAATTTCTATTTCATTATTTGAAAGTAAATATTTTTCATATCATTATTGATGGTTCCCTTTATGAATTTTTCAATTTTCTTTCTCCTAACCTAAAAATTTAGTTTTGAAATGAAGTAATTTATATATATATATATATATATATATATATAATTTAAAAATCAAATAATACTGGATTGCAGATGATAAAGAATAGCAGTCCCCTCTCCAGCTTTCTTGCCCCTGATTCCTCTCCCCACAAGCAACAATTTCCATTTCTTTTAGCTGTTATATCTTTATTGGGGGGGGGATTTGCCTCAATGTTTCTAAATAATATGCTTACAACTGCTATTTTATGATTTTTCAATTTTAGACATTATCCGTGTACTTCCTACTACGGATTATAAGAATTACTTTTCTTATATATTCCCACCTATCCTATCCTTTCATTCACCCCAGACACTTTCCCTCCTGTTGTTTTCCTACTATGGATGTATAATAATTCGGGAGTGAATCAGTATTCAGAATAAACATTATTATGACGACGTAAATACTGTTTACAGCTAAATCTCAAAGTGTATTATGATTTTATTTCCTTTCTGTTCAACTTTTGTTTTCCCTGGAGTTGATTGCCTCAGTTTTTTGTGTTCCCTTGGTTTCCTGTGTATTTATCACAAATATAACTCCAGACTCTCTGGTAGAGCTGTACAAAACCATTCCATACAAAACCCTTCCATTAAGATAATCTATTCCATTTTTTTTCACAAAGGTCACTTCTGTAGCCCTTGTCTTTATGCTCTGATATTTTTAGTTGCTAAATCTGCTGCTTAGCTATCATCCTGAGGATTCCCTTCATCTGACTCCTGTATCAGGTTCCTAGCATCCTGGATTCTGCTTCTTTCTTTGTTTTACTCCCTTATTTTGATGGAGTACATCCTCTACCCACTTTTTTGAGAAAGAATGTTGAGGAAGTAAACTTTTGAAAACTTTTCCCCCCAATCCCCATTCCCTCAATTTATTGATGGTTTATATGGGTACAGAATTCCAGGTTACTCTATTAGTCAGAATAAGATAACTGTTCAGATCTCAGTGGCATAACACAAAAAAGGATTTTGCTCAATTAATTGTTAAGCACAGATGTTTGGTGCACAGCTTTCTACAGGGGATTTAGGGATCCAAGTTTCTTCTAACTGGAGACTCCATCAAAGTCTTGGAGTCCTCCTCTAGGTCTTCTGCAACCCTCCAGGTGACAAGGGACAAGAGCATGGAGGATCATGCAAAAGGTTTTAGAGATCTGACCTGGAAGTAATGTATATCACTTCCACCCAAATTCCACTGATCAAAAATTAGTCATATGAACCTCCAAAGTGAAAGGGGCTGGGAAATGTAGACTACGCATGTTCAAGAAAAGGAGGAGAAATAAGAATGTCATGAACACTAGCATTCTCAGCCGCAGTTGAAAATCGTTTCTCTGTATAATTTTAAAGACATTCCTCTTTTGTCCTTTGGCTTCCCATATTGGTCTTGAATAGTCGTATATAATTCTGTTTCCTAATTCTTTGCAAATGGGATACTTCATTTGGTGATGATGAAAATCCAGTGGGAAAACAAGTGAATGAGGGATAAAAGTCTATAGGAAATGTACTTTATTTGTCACATTGTATCATAAACCTGTAATTCTTAACTGGGGGCAATTTTGCTTGTCAGGGGTTATTTGGCAACGTCTAGAGACATTTTTGATTGTCACAACTAGTGTGCATTTGTATGTGTGGCTGCTACTGGAATCTAGTGAGTAGTGGCCAAGGACACTGCTAAACATCCTGCCACACATAGGACAGCCCCCAACAACAAAGAATTGTCCAGCCCCAAATGTCCCAGCACCCGGATGGTGCCAAGGTTGAGGAAGCCTACCCTGAACATTATGTCTGGGATTTTAGGTTAGAAAGTGTGGTTACTGCCACCATAAGTATGCACAATGGGAACACACAGAGTGATGAGGTGAAATTTCCCTGGAGGACAGGAAGGGTCAAAGATGTGGTTCTTATCTTCTGTGCAAGAAGATGTGTTACTTACTTTGCTATATCTAGGGCTTGGGTTATAGGAACAGGCGACTGGTCAGTAATCAAATTAGATCAATTTGAGGATAACTGACATCTTAATAATAGCAAGTCTCCGTATTCATGAACATGGATTTCTATTCTATTTTGGTATTCCTTAATAACTTTCAAAATAAATAATTTTCTTCACTAAGTTGTCTTCTACTTTTGTTAGATTTATTTCTGGATATCTTATTTTTTGTGGCTACTCTAAATGCTATCTCTGTTTTTTTAAATCATTATTTGCCCAATATTTTTTCTTTATTTCCAGAAATTTAAACTACATTATATAAAAAATTAACAATACAATGAACAATGGTAACTTTAAAAAGTTTACATTTTCTAAATACTTATTAATGTATAAAAATGTAATTATTTTTGTATTTTGACCTTTTAAAAATTATTTTAAAATTATTTTGTAGGTATGTATAACTATCTTGCAAAAACTCATCTATTAATTATAAAAATTAGTACAGTTTTTGCTATGTAGAAGATTATAACATTGGCAAATAATGACAGTTTTGTTTCTTTCTTTCTAACTCTTATACTTTGTATTTCTTTTTCTTGTCTTACTGCACAGGTTGGGATAATATTGAGCAGAGGTGGTGAAACAACAGACATCCATTTTTTACTTCTGATTACAAAGGAGATATTTCTATTTTGTCTTATTCTTGATTATTAAGAAAATGCCTTTATAAAGGAATTGTTCACTGTGGGGTAAGATGTTTTCTGCAGGCTTTTTAGTAGTTATTATTTATCAGATTATTTCTGTGCCAAATGTGCTAAGAGGTTTTAGTGAGAATAAATGTAGTATTTTTATTAAATACTTTTTTGCATCTGCTGTGATGTTTGTATAGTTTTTATACTCTAATCTGCTAATGTGGTGAATTACATTAATGTACTTTCTAGTATTAAGATATTTTTGCATTTCTAGTATAAACCAGTTTGGTAAATACAGATTGTCTTCATTATTCACTCTAAATTTGGTTTGTTAATATTTTATTCAGGATTTTTGCATCTATGTTTATAAATGCTATTGACCTATAATTTTTCTTCCTGTACAGTCTTATGTAAATTTTGTATTGAGGTTATATTATCCTTTAAGAAAGACTTGGTGGCTTTTTCATTTTTCCCCCTTCTCTCTAGAGACTTATACTAAAGTTTGGAAAGATTTGATCCTTGAATACTTGCCTGAAAATATCATATGGGTCTGATATTCTTGGGAAAAGTTTTTGTTTGTTTTAAATTTATTATGATGATCATTTTTTATTTTAATGTTTACTTGTACATATCTGTGGGGTACAGTGTGTTGTTTCAGTACGTGCATATACGGCACAATGATTCACTCAGAGTACAGAGCATACTTTTGTACCCACTAGTCCACTACTACTCCCTCCCATCCCCCTCCCCTCCCAGCCTCTGGTAACCATTATTCTTCCCACCCCTCAGTCTCTGGTAACCGTTATATTACTCTCTTCTTCTATGAGAATCACTTTTTTTTTTTGGATTCCACATATGAGTGAAATCACGTGGTATTATTACTCTCTTCTTCTATGAGAATCACTTTTTTTTTTTGGATTCCACATATGAGTGAAATCATGTGGTATTTGTCTTTCTTTGCCTGACTTATTTCACTTTACATGATGGTTTCCAGTTCCATCCACGTTGCTGCAAATGATAGTATATCATTTCTTTTATGGCTGAATAGTATTCCATTGTGTAAGTATATCACAGTTTTTAAAATTTATTCATCCATTGATGGACAATAAGGTTGATTCTATCTCTTTGCTATTGTGAACAGCATTGTGATGAACGTGGGAGTGCAGGTGTCTTTTCGATGTATTGATTTCATTTCCTTTGGGTATATACCCAGTATTGAGATAGCTGGGTTGTAAGGTAGATCTATTTTTAGTTCTCCGAGGAACCTCCATACAGTTTTCCGCAATGTTTGTACGTATTTACATTCCTACAAACCATGTAAGAAGGTTCCCTTTTCTCTGCATACTTGCCAGCATTTGTCATTTTTTGTCTTGTTGATAATAGCCATTCTAACTGAGGTGACAGGATATCTCACAGTGGTTTTAATTTGCATTTCCCTGATGCTTAGTGACTTTGAGCATTTTTTCATGTGCCTGTAGGCCATTTGTATGTCTTCTTTGGAGAAAAGTCTGTTCAGATCCTTTGCCCAGTTTTAATTGAGTTATTTGGAGGTTTTTTGCTGTTGAGTTGTTTGAGTTCCTTACATGTTCTGGATATTAGCCCTTTATCTGATGTGTAGTTTCCAAACACTTTCTCCCATTCTGTGAGTAGTCTCTTCACTTTGTCGATAGTGTTCCTTGCTGTTCAGAGCTTTTCAGTTTGATGTAGTCCCATTTGTGTATTTTTGCTTTAGTTGCCTGTGCCAATGTAGTTGTGCTCAAAAAGCTCCGCCCACTCCCACTTCCTGCAGTGTTTTCCCTATGTTTTCCTCTAGGAGTTTCATAGTTTTGGGTCTTAAATTTAGGTCTTTAATCCATTTTGAGTTTATTTTTGTGTATGCTGAGAAATAGGGGCCTTGTTTCAATCTTCTGCATGTGGATATCCAGTTTTCCCAGCACATTTTATTCAGGAGGCTGTCCTTCCCCCACTGTGTATTCTTGGCACCTTCGTCAAAAATCATTTGGCTGTAAGTGTGTGGATTTGTTTCTGGGCTCTCTGTTCTGTTGCATTAGTTGTGATTTTTGTGCCAGTACCATGCTGGTTTGGTTACTATAGCTTTATTATAAATATATATGTATATTTATTTAAATTGAAACATAGTTGTACATGTCTGTGGGGTACACAGTTGAACATCAATATCTGTGTGCAATATGTGATGCTTAAATCAGGATAATTAGTATATTCAGCGTTACACAATGTAATAGTTTTTTGTGGCCCTTTACCAATTCTTTTCTTCCCCCTCTTCCTCCTTTCTCCAGCTTTATAGTATATTTTGAAGTCAGGAAGTATGATGCCTCCCAATTTGTTCTTTTTGTTCATGATTGCTTTAGCTATAGGGATCTTTTGTGGTTTCATACAAATTTTAAGATCATTTTTTCTATTTCTGTGAAGAATGACATTAGCATTTTGATAGGGATTGCATTGAATATGTAGATTACTTTGGGTAATATGGACATTTGATGTTAATTCTTCCAATCCAAGAACATGGGACATCTTTCCATTTATCTGTGTCCTCTTCAATTTTTTTCACCAAATGTTTTATAGTTTTTGTTGTAGAGGTCTTTTCACCTCCTTGGTTAAATTTCCTCCTAGGTATTTCTTTTTCTTTTTCTTTTTTTTTTTTGGTAGCTATTATGAATGGGATTACTTTCTTGATTTCTTCTTAGGCTATTTCATTACTGGCATATAGGAAGTCTATTGATTTTTGTGTTTTGATTTTGTGTGCTGCCACTTTACTGAATTAATTTATTAGTTCTAGTAGTTTTTTAGTGGAGTCTTTAGGGTTTTCTATGTATATGATCGTGTCATCTGAGAATAGGGATAGTTTGACTTCCTCCTTTCCAATTTGGATTCCCTGTGTTGCTTTCTCTTGCCTCATTGCACTGGTTGGAACTTCCAGTACTATGTTGAATAAGAGTGGGGAAAGTGGGCATCCTTGTCAGATCTTAGAGAAAAAGCTTCCAATTTTTTTTTCATTCAGTATTATATTAGCTGTAGTAGGTTTGTATATATGGCCTTTATTTTGTTGAGGTACATTCCTTCTGTACCTAACTTGTTGAGCATTTTTAACATGAAGAGGTGTTGTATTTTATGAAATGCTTTTTCTGAATCTAGTAAAGTAATCATATGTTTTTTTTTCCTTCATTCTGTGGATATGATGTATCAGTTTATTGATATTTGTATGTTGAACCATACCTGGCATGAGTCCCACTTGATCATGGTGAATGATTTTTTTAAATGTGTTGTTGGATTCTGTATTCTAGTATTTTACTGAGGATCTTCACATCTGTGATCATTAGTGATATTGGTCCATAGTTTTCTTTTTCTTGTTGTGTCTTTTTCTAGTTTTGTATGAGGTTAATGTTGGTTAATGTTGTAGAATGAGTTTGGAAGTATCCTCTCCTCTTTAATTTTTTGGAAGAGTTTGAGAAGAATTGGTATTAGTTTTTCTTCAAATGTTTGATAGAATTCGGCAGTGAAGTCATCTGGTCCTGGAGTTTTCCTTGTTAGGGGTCTTTTTATTACTGCTTCAATCTCATTATTTGTTATTTGGCTGTCTAGGTTTTCTAGTTCTTCATGATTCAACCTTGATAAGTTGTATGTGTCCAGGAATTTACCCATTCCCGGTTTTCTAGTTCTTCATGATTCAACCTTGATAAGTTGTATGTGTCCAGGAATTTATCCATTCCTTCTAGGTTTTCCGGTTTGTTTTCATATAGTTGTTTGTACTAGTCTCTTATGGTCCTTTGCACATCTGTGGTATCAAATGTAATGCCCAGGTTTTCATTTTTGATTTTATTTGTTTCAGTTTTCTCTCTTTTTTACTTCATTAGTCTAAATAAAGGTTTATCAATTTTGTTTATCTTTTGGAAAAACCAGCTCTTTATTTCACTGATCTTTTGTGTTGTTTTATAAATCTCTAATTCACTTATTTCAGCTCTGATGTTTGTTACTTCTTTCCTTCTACTGATCTTAGGTTTGATTTATTCTTGTTTTTCCAGCTCCTTGAGGTATAATGTTCGGTTGTTTATTTGAAGTCTTTCTTCTTTTTTTATTGTAGGCATTTATTGCTATAGACTTCCCTTGAACTGTTTTTGCCATATCCCATAGGTTCTGGTATGTTGTGTTATCTTCATTTGTCTCCAGGAACTTTTAAATTTCCCTTTTGATTTCTTCTTTGACCAATTCATTGTTTAGGGGCATTTTTTTATATCCCATAGGTTCTGGTATGTTGTGTTATCTTCATTTGTCTCCAGGAACTTTTAAATTTCCTTTTTGATTTCTTCTTTGACCAATTCATTGTTTAGGGGCATTTTTTTTTAAATTTCCATGTATTTGTATGGTTTCTAGTGTCCCTTTTGTTGATTTCTAGTTTTATTCCATTGTGATCCAACAAGGTAATTGATATGATTTCAATTTTTAAAACTTTATTGAGACTTATTTTGTGACCTAGCATATGGTCTATTCTAGAGAATGTTCCATGTGCTGTTGAGAATAATGTGTATTCTGCAGCTGTTGGATGAAATGTTCTATATATGTCCAATAGGTCCAAGATTAGAGATTAATTCTGATGTTTCCTCATTAATTTTTTGTCCGGATGATCTGTTCTTCACTGAAAGTGGGGTGTTAAAAGTCCCCAACTATTACTGTGTTGGAGTCGACTTCTGTCCTTAGGTCTAATAGTAATTGCTCTATATAACTGGGTTCTCCAGACTGGGTACATATATATTTAGAATTGTTATATCCTAATTTGAATTGATTGGTCCCTTTATCATTATGTAATGATCGTCCTCATCTTTTTTTACTTTCCTTGGTTTGAAGTCTATTTTATCTGATATAAGTATAGCTACTCTTGCCCTTTTTTCATCACCTTTTGTACGAAATATCTTTTTCCATTTCTTCACTCTCAGATGGTGTGTGCATTTATAGGTGAAGTGAGTTTCCTGTGTTTATAGGTGAAGTGAAGGTAGCACATTGTTGGCTTTTGTTCTATAATCCATTGAGCCACTCTGTGTCTTTTAATTGGGATATTTACTACATTTACATTTAGAGTTATTATTGATATATAGGAATTTGTTACTGCCATTTTGTTACTTTTTTTCTGGTTG